TTTATAAAAAATTAACAGTGTTAACATTAGTGTTAAATTAATAGACAAATGTCAAAAAATTAAGATCGACACACAAATGGGACATCCAATTCGGGACAGCAAATCCCTGGCCACATAAGGTGGCCCACATTTATTATTTGTGATATTCCATTCTAAAATTTATTATTTATTTTTTGTATTTTGAATTTCTAGGTGTGTTTGGTTTTTATATATTTATCTTCCAGTCTTGAGAAAAGTAGTTTGATGGGTGTTTTGGTCATTTTACATTTCACTTCGGTGTTTGGAGGTGGGTTTAGAGGCATGATAGATAGAGAAATCATTGCAATCCCATAGCGCGACAGAATGACATTCTCTCTATGTAACTACTCTAACTTGATATTTTCTTTATATTTCTTTTCTATACTTTGAGCTATATTGCAATGTTAGTTGTGTGACTAGAAACTTTCTAAACTTTTCGAGTATTTGGATAAATATGTTACTTGTGATGAGAAACTCTCTTAAAAAAAACTTTTGTGTACAAGTGTGAAAAGCATGGGGTAATAGTGCTCAGCGATCATTCCATTATCATATTAAAATTAAAACAGGAAATTTACGAACGAGGGGGACATAAAAGCAAACCTTGTTGAGGAAATATATAACAAGTAAGAAAGGGGAACCTAAAAGCCACCCCATGTACAAAGTAAAACAAATAGTAAAACAAAATCATCTGAAACGATAATTGGTAGAAACAGAAAGATCATGACATAAGCAGAAGCTACACACATAAGGGAAACCATCAATTCAAAGGGATTGATAAAAATACCCTAAATTTAACTGAGATTTTTCACAGAATGACCAAAATGATTGATGGTGGACAATCTCAAGGATCACTTCTATCGATTTTAAATTTAAGAACCAAAGTGAAAAGTTATGTCAATCTTAGAAACTATTTTAAAAAAAAATTAAAAGGCTTACTAAAATATGAATGTTACTTTCTTTCATTTTATTTGTTAGATACTAACTCCAACTCTACACACACACACACACACACACACACACACGCTAAAAGAGAAAATGAACTGAAATACTGTTCATAAAGAAGTGTGATACCTATTTTGCCCTTACTTGCTTTGTTTATTTCGTTTGTGCCATGTTTCACACGTGCTGGTCATTAGGCACTGTTCTATAACAGTAAAATGGCGAAAATGTCCTTGCAATGCTACTCTGACTGCCTTTTGTTTTGGCTTCTCTATAGTGAATTCTCAGTTTTGCCCATGCTGGCCACGCGTCCGTCTGCTTCCATACGATGTCGACGCGTTGGTCTTCTGGAGCCTTCCATCCTTTTCGATCCATGTCTCATAAATGCTTTTCTTCCTCTCAATCCTCACGTTTTCTGGCTCACTGATCTTGGGTTCTCTGTCTCTCTCTCTCTCTCTCTCTCACTTGCTTGCTAAGAAAGACGAACCAGTCAAAATTTGTGCAGATATTTTTCTGAAAAAATAGATATGATATGCTGTTCTTCCTTCCTCCTCCCCATCCGTTGGACAACATCTCCTCCATTTCGACCTCTCCCTTGGAAACCCATCGGAGATCTCTTCAAGTTTCTTTGTCATAATCTTTGGAGAAAGAAATTTGATTTTCTTTTTATTTTTTAAGTTTTTGGTTTTTGGTTTGTGGGTTTTTTATTTTTTATTTTTTGTGCAGGTAAAGAGGTTTCTTTATCAGAACCTCTGGAGAAAGAAATTTGATTTTGTTTTAAATTTTTTTATTTTAAGTTTTTGGTTTGTGAGTTTTTAATTTTTTGGAGAACCTTGCATTTTGTGAGTTTTTTTTTTTCAGATTTTTATCTTGGTTTAAAAAAAAAATTCTTCTGTTATATTTAAGAATATTTAAGCTTGGTTTAATTACGATTGTGCCTAAACAAACCTTTAGTTGCTTAACTTGGGACAAAATAATGTGTCGATTAACAACTTCCGCTCCGCAAGCCAGCAGTCGCTCTTCCATGCTTAATCTTACAAATTTGACAATATTATCTTTTGAGAGAGTCCATTAGTTGCTCTGCTGCTGCTTTCCCTTACGAATCTGTCCATTTTCTATTTTTGTGGTTAAATTTTTGTATAATGTTATTGTGTGAGATTATGGTTATCTTATCATTTGTTTAGGTTATGATTTTTAGGCTCATCATTTCTGTGTTTCAGCTACGAACATTTCTGATATTGACTAAGGTATTAATCTCTTTGTCTCAAAATTTTGAAATCCTATTAGTTTAGCGAACTTTATATATTATTGGGCAATATGGTTATGCTTTCGTTGTGTCTGAGAGACAGAGCACTGATCCAGTTTGTGATCAATTGCATTTAGGGGTTTTGATTTGGTCATGATGTTGCAGATTGAGAGAAGTTTTGGAAAAGAAAACAAATTTAATTAAGATTGGAGTTGATTTTGTTCGAGTTTAGAGGGGAAGTTCTCTAGCCGATTTGGGGTGGGTAATTTTGGGTTTACAACAGTGAATTCTGTGCAAATTTCATTTTTCTGATTTTGGGGATTTTATTTCCAGGCTAGAATGCCGTCGTTTTCTGAAGCCCTCTGTACTCAAGGTAAGAAATTTAAACTTTTGGTGGAACCGATGAAGGGGGTCGTTGCCCGGCAATCTTGGGTTTGTTAAGAGCAGTTCCACCCTAAAGATTTTACTTTAGCATCCAGCGTATTTATTCACTCAAGTGAACAATAATAAACCTCAATGAATAGTAATAGCCAAAGCATCTCCACCCTTAAACACAAAAAATAGGTTGGTCAATTTTATTAAAATATTATTATTTTTTATCATAAAATAATAAAAATTAATTATTTTATTTTTAATTTCTGACTTAATTTTTTTTTTTGGGGGAAAAAACTTGTACTGTTGATCTGTGATTGGACGGTCCAGTTTAAAAGTGAAATTCAAATTTTTTTTACCATTGGAAATCCAATGACAGAAATTGGACCACGTCGGCCACCCAGGGGAGATGTTAGTGCGCCTGTGCCATTGGGCCCCGCCTCTGATTTTGTTGTCTGCTACTCGCGCCCACGTGCCACGCGCCACGCGTAACAACACAAATGGCCCATCCCAAGGTCTGTCAAAAATGGGGCTAGTCTGGAGACCAACTTAGGCTAGGTGCCAGGCAAACACACGGGCTGGAATGAATTGACAAAGTGCTAGCTTGGTTTTTTGACTGGGTGATGGGCTATTCCACCTCCGGTGGAACTGCTCTAAGGGGCTACACGAGACTCACATTAGGCTGTCGATCTTGTGCTTGTTGATGGCTTCTTCTTCTTCATCTGTTCCTGATTGGAAATACGATGTCTTCTTGAATTTTCGAGGCGAAGACACTCGCAAGACCTTCATCGGCCATTTCCACAAAGCTCTGGTTCAGAACTCAATCAACACCTTGTATATCAGGTTTGCTTACACAAGACTAATCATTGTTTTCTCCTTGGCCTTTTAGGACACATTATATGTGTGAAACAGCTGATTCCCACAGCAACACGAGGGCGTAATTTCTAATGATAGTCTAAGAATATACGTCAAATTTAACAATGTGCTCGCACGCGCATTTCATCGTATTAGGAGTTGTTTTATTTATTTTTGAATGTCAAGTAAAAGAGTTAACAAAGTTATTTTTCAACCAAATCATAGGACATGTCACAAATATTTAGCAAAAAGACACAAAAAAGGGAGTCATCAGACCTGTGACCGATTCAACAATGGGGACTCCCATGACGCTACTACAACCCATTGATTAGTTTATATAATTGAGTAATTTATCTCCACACCCACAGAATGTGGACCACATTTGTTTTAAGGTGTAACTGGAATATAAAGTTTATACAAAAACTAATGAGTGAAGAGATAACATTATTGGGTTTAAATAAATTTTGTTTTTTAATCAAGTCTTCTCAAAAGAGATTGATCTAATTTAAAAGTTGTTCCATTCCAAAATTTATTATTTAGTTTTTGTATTTTGAATTTCTATGTGTGTTTGATTTATATTTATTTATTTATTTTTGAGCCATGAGAAAAGTGTTTTGATGGGTGTTTTGGTCATTTTACATTTCACTTCGGTGTTTGGAGGTGGGTTTAGAGGCAAGATAGAGAAATAATTGTGATCCCATAGCGCAACGGAATGCTCTAACTTGATATCTTCTTTATATTTCTTTTCTATATTTTGAGCATTTTGACTATATGGCAATGTTAGTTGTGACTTAGAAACTTTCTAAACTTTTCAAGTATTTTGATAAATATGTTACTTGTGACGAGAAACTCTCTAAATTTTTTTTTTGTGTGCATGCGTGAAAAGCATGGGGTAATAGTGCTCAACAATCATCCCATTATCATATTAAAATTAAAAGAGGAAATTTACGAACAAAGGGGACATAAAAGCAAAACTTGTTGAGAAAATAACACAGCAAGTAAGACGGCAGGGGAACCTAAAAGCCACCCATGGACAAAGTAAAATAAATAGTAAAAATAAAATCATCTGAAACAATAATTGGTAAAAGCTGAAAGATTATGACATAAGTAGAAGCTGCAGGCATAAAGGAGATTTGGATCACCAATAATTTGCATCATGATCAATTCAAAGGGATTAACAAAAATACCCTTAATTTAACCAAGATTTTTCATAGAATAACCAAAATGATTGATGGTAAACAATTTCAACCATCACTTCTATCGATCTAAATTCAGGAACCAAACTGAGAAGTTATGTTAATCTTAGAGACTATTTTAAATAAAAATTAAAAGGCTTAGTAAAATATGAATGTTACTTTCTTTCATTTGTATTTGTTAGACTAACTTTCCGATCCACTCTGCGTGTGGACTCGCTGAGAAAGAGAGAAAGCTGCGCTCTTTGACGCGCTAAAAGGAAGGCAACGCGCCAAAAAGCAAGGGAATGCTGAAGGGACTGGGGCCCAGCCCGATGGGGTTGCCGGCCAACATGTGCAGTCCCACTTGCTTTATTCAATCGGACCGCGTAGATTAGTGGACTTTATTTGCCCAAAGCGACCCTTTCTTTCCTGGCAACTTCCAAGCGCCCCCCCTGGAGATGCATCTCATTTTTCTAGTGAGAACCAATGAAGGGGGTCGTTGACCAGCAATCTTGAGTTTGTTAAGGGGCTACTTGAGAATCACATTAGGCTGTCGATCTTGTGCTTGTTGATGGCTTCTTCTTCTTCATCTGTTCCTGATTGCAAATACGATGTCTTCTTGAATTTTCGAGGTGAAGACACTCGCAGGACCTTCATCGGCCATCTCTACAAAGCTCTAGGTCGGAGGTCAATCAACACCTTCATTGACGCTGAAGAGCTCAGAAAAGGCAACGGCCTTTCGCAGCTACTGACGGCTATAAGCGACTCGAGGCTTTCGGTTGTAGTTTTTTCTCCAAACTACGCTTCTTCCACATGGTGCTTGAAAGAACTCGTCCAAATCCTGCAGTGCATGGATCAGAAGAAGCAGATTGTGATTCCCATCTTCTACGAAGTAGACCCATCTCATGTTCGTAAAATCAAGGGAAGTTTTGAGGAAGCTTTTTCTAAACATGAACATGATCCTGACGCCGACATGGAAGAAGTGCAGCGGTGGAGGTCCGCTTTACAAAGAGCCCCCGATTTATGTGGCTGGGATTCACAAAATTACCAGTAACTCATAACCTCATAATCTTATTCACTTAGTAGTTTAGAAGTTTAGCTAATTTCCTGTTTTGGTCGTTTTAGTTTTGAAGAAAATTCTTATTTCGTTTATAGTCGCTAATTTCCTGTGGTTATCATTAATGTTAATACAACTAGAACCAAGACTTCCTTCCCAACCCTCTACAAAATTGAATACTCACCAACTCTCTGCAAAACTTTCCACCACCACACCTAGATATTTTCCATGAGAAGGGAAGAGGAAACTAATATAAAAAATTAGGGGCCTTTGATATTGATCTTGCGGTGAAGAATTCACTTGTTTTTATTTACTTTTTCACATGGGACGATGTCGTTTGTACAAAATCTCTTAATTTCTTCCCTCTTTCATGATGAGGAAAGAGCAGGTGTGAGAACCAGGGAGGAGACATAATGTACAAAAGACGTTGTCCAACATTAATAAGTAAAAAAAGAACAAGTTAAATTAATTCTTCAAACCGCAAGATCAAAATATATGGCCGCTATTAAAAGGTCTATAAAACATCTGGAGAGGATATAGATGACTAGTTCTCTTATATGTTGATTGAACTTAGAAGAGTGCATTGAGTAAATGAAAGAAGAATAAACTCCTGAGAATTGTTGGGTCGTTACTTTGTGTTTTAAATGACAGTGTGATGAGTGTTATATAACTAGCAATCGCAGGACTTGACAATATTGTTTTTTCAAATTTCGCAGGGATGATGCCAAGCTTGTTGAGTTGATTGCAGATGATATTTTTAAGAAAGTGATCAACATCCCATCAAGTGAAAAGAATGGCTTGGTTGGAATGGATTCCCGCTTAAAGAAAATGGATTCACTATTATGTCCCGAGGTCGATAACGTTGGCTTTGTTGGAATATGGGGTATGGGCGGTATAGGCAAAACCACCATCGCTAGAGCTGTGTATGATAAAATCAATCATCACTTCGAAGGTCGTTGCTTTCTTGAAAATGTGAAGCGACGTTTTCCCTCAACTGATGCAGGTGAAGCGCCACTAGATATGCAGGCAGAAATTCTATCTAGTATCACAGATATGAAGGTGGGGAGTTCAGAGATTTTGAGAAATGGTTTTCAGAAGATGATGGAAAGAGTTGGTAAGAAAAAAGTTTTACTTGTTCTGGATAATGTGGAGAGTTCATCCCAAATTGAAGCCTTAATTGGAAAGCAACCTTCATTTGGTGGCGGAAGTCGAATCATTATAACAACTAGAGATAAACAGTCACTAAGTAGACTTGGTGATCAGATATATGAGCCCGAGTTGTTAAATGACGATGATGCTCTCAAGCTGTTTAGGCAGTATGCTTTGAGTACAAAGCAACCCACAGAAGAATACATTGATCTGTCAGGCCATTTCATAAAATATGCTCAAGGTTTGCCTTTAGCACTCAAAGTCTTGGGAGCATTTCTCGATGACAAAAGTGTACTTGTGTGGAAAGATGAGTTAAAGAAAATAGCGAGAAACCCGCACCCGGGAATCCAAAAAGTCCTTAGAACAAGCTATGATGGACTAGATGATTTGCAGAAGGAAATATTTCTTGATATTGCATGTTTCTTTAAACAAATGAAGAAAGACTTGGCAACAAGGATTATGGAGGGTTGTGACTTCCATCCCCATACCGGATTAGACGTTCTAGTTGGTAGAGCTCTTGTCACTATCTCATCTGATGGTGTACTCGAGATGCATGATTTAATAGAGGAAATGGGTCACCAAATCGTACGCCAGGATATAAAGGAGCCTGGAAGGCGCAGCAGATTGTGGAGCTGTGAAGATGTTCATTATGTGCTAAATAAAAAAAATGTGAGAAATACGCTCCCATCCACTCCATTAATGTAATTGCATTGAATCTTTTCTCTCCCAGTAATATTAGTAAATTTTAAAATAATAATAATAATAATAATACTTTTGGTATTGTTCACTTTTAACAAAAAACCACATTTTTACATTTTCCTAGTACTATTCACTGCACCTTTATTTGTCATTTTTCATTAAAATAAAGTTTTTTTGGATTTTTTGTTAGTTTTCCTTAATAATAAAAGTAAAGCTTCAACTTTGACCAAAATGCAATTCATGAGAACCATGTGCATTGGGCGTTTTAAGCTTAAGTTTGTACTCATTCAAAGTGCAATTTTGATAATCCAGGCTATGGAAGCAGTTGAAAGCATAATTGTGCAATGGCCACACTCAAACAATGTGGTGGAATTAGATATCGCCCTTGCTCAAATGCCAAAACTAAGACTACTCAAAGTCCATACCCACTGTTTACTACCAGAGGGCGAGCCGGCCGATGATCACTGGCAATACGAGAATCTAAAGTTTCTCTCTGAAAAACTAAGTTATTTGTTTTGGAACAAATGTCCCCTAAAGTCTTTATCGTCCAATTTTAACCCAGAGAATCTTGTTGAAATTGACATGCAATGTAGTTGGGTTGAACACCTCTGGAAAGGAACTAAGGTACGTTCATCATTTGCCTATATACTGCTTTTAAATGGTTTAGTTTTTAAATGCCTTATTATGTATGTAACACATATTTTCCTTGATGTATATTGACAGCGTCTTGGAAAGTTGAAAATTATCAATTTAAAAGGCTCTTATCGTCTTAAGGAAACGCCGGACTTCACTAAGGCAAAGAATCTTGAGAAGCTAATTCTTGGTGGATGCACAAGTTTATATGAGGTTCACCCATCCATTTCTGCCCTTGAAAAACTTGTCCTCTTGGATCTAAGTTGGTGCGGCGAACTCAAGTCCTTTTCAAGGAACATTTGTATGAAATCTCTTGAAACCTTTGATCTCTCTTTTTGCTCAAAACTTGAGAAGTTTCCAGAGATTTCCAAAGTTATGGAGAAGCTTTCAAAGCTTTATTTGCAAGGGACTGCAATGAAAGAACTGCCTCGATCGATTAACAACCTTACAGGGCTTGTTACTTTGAATCTTAAATATTGCAGAGAACTTGAGATTCTTCCAAGCAGCATTGTTCAACTCAAGTCCCTGCAACTTCTTAATCTTTCTGGTTGTCCAAAGCTCAAGGCCTTTCCAGAAAATGTCGGACATATGGAAAGATTAAGAGAGCTTCGCTTGGATGAGACATCTGTTGAAGGCCTTGCCCCATCAATTTCATCTCTTCAAAACCTTGAGATTTTGAGTCTAAGGCAATGCAAGAAACTTCATAGTCTTCCAAGGAACATTCATATGAGATCTCTTCGAACCCTTAATTTTTCCAGCTGCTTCAATCTGTATAATTTTTCAGAAATTCCTGAAGTTATGAACCTATTAGAGCTTAATTTAGATGAGACTGATATTTCAGAACTGCCCTTGTCCATCAAAAATTTTACGGGACTCGTTACCCTGAGCCTGAAGGATTGCAGAAGATTAGAGATTCTTCCAGGCAGCATTCATATGAGATCTCTTCAAGCCCTGAATGTTTCTGGCTGCTCAAATCTGAGGAATTTACCCGAGTTTCTAAAAGTTACGGAGAACCTAACAGAGCTTCATTTAGATTGGACTTTAGTTGCAAAAGGCCAAGAAAATTTTAAGTTTTCAGGGATTGCAATTGAAGAATTGCCATCCATAATTTATAGTCTTACGGGACTTGCTACCTTGACGCTACGGTATAGCAAAGACTTTGAGAGTCTTACAAGCAGCATTTGTCAGCTCAAGTCCCTAAATTATCTCTCTCTTTCCGGTTGTACAAAGTTTAAGGTGTTTCCAGACATATTAGAAAATATGGAAAGATTAGCCAGCCTTGATTTGGATAACACATCTATCAGAGAGCTTCCTGCATCAATTGAACGGCTTCAGGGACTAGTGTCGTTAAATCTGAAAAACTGCAAAAGCCTGGTCTATCTTCCGAACAGTATCTGCAATTTGTTAAGTCTCGAATGGCTCACTCTCAATGGGTGCTCAAAACTTTCGAAGTTGCCTGAAGATTTATGGTATTTGAAGCGCCTTGACATAAAGGGAACTGGTATACATGGTTACTGCCCAGAACAGCAATTCATCAATTTGGGGGGTTTGGCTCAGTTTCGAAGCACTGCACCTAAGATTAATGCCATGGTCCCAAACATTGAGCAAAATGAGGCGGTGGCTGATGTTGAATCCCGCCTCCCCTGGATGTGGCGCCATGTGGAAGAGAGGCAGGATCTATGCGGAAGTCAAGTTATGTGGAAGAGATATGTGGAAGGGAAGGGGCGCTATGTGGAAGAGAGGCAGCAGGATATTGCGGAATCAAGCTATGTGGAAGAGATGCGGCGTTATGCGGAAGAAGCGGCAGCGGAAAGGCGCTCTGCGAAAGAGATGCGGCGGCGCTCTGCGGCAGCGGCGGCAGCGGTGGCAGCGGCGGCAGAGGAAGAGATGCGGCGGCGCTATGCGAAAGAAGCGGAAGAGATGCGGCGCTGCTATGCGAAAGAAGCGGAAGAGATGCGGCGGCGCTATGCGGAAGAAGCGGAAGAGATACGGCAGCACTATGCGGAAAAAGCGGAAGAGATGCAGCGGCACTTTGCGATAACGAAAGAGATGCGGTGGCGCTTTGCGAAAGAAGCGAAAGAGATGCGGCGGCACTTTGCGGAAGAAGCGGAAGAGATACGGCGGCGCTCTGCGGAAGAAGCAGTGCGAAAGAAGCGGAAGAGATGCGGCGGCTCTTTGCTAAAGAAGCGGAAGAGATGCGGCGGCTCTTTGTGAAAGAAGCGGAAGAGATGCAGCGGCTCTTTGCGGAAGAAGCGGCATAGATGTGGCGCATCTATGTAGAGAAGCGGCAGCAGCGACATTTGGAAGAGAAGTGGCAGCGACTTTGACCTTTGGAAGAGATCAAACGTTGACGTTTAGGGCTGGGTTTTACCCTAAAATGCCTAGGTACCTGTTTCTAAGGGGTAATCATATTTAAACTCATTTGTTTTCATTTCACCCACCGATGTGGGACTGCCAACAAATTTTTCATCACATTTTGACTGATCCTGAGGAGTCAAGCTATTTGGAAGAGATGATGCAGCGACGTTGACGTTTGGAAGAGGAGCAGCAATGTCTGGAGTTCCTTGAGGTAGAGGGAACTGTAGCATCTCTCTCTTTAAAAACGATAATTTCTCAGCACTTAAGGGTATTTGGATCAGTGTCAGAGCACTGCACCTTTGAGTGATATGGTGGACTTAAGCTACGGGGAAAAGGAGGCGGTGGCTTTTAAGGCAATTTTGAGTGATCTCAAGCAGTCGAGACATGAGGAAGAGAAGGAGGAGAAGGCGGTGGCAGCCTCAAGGAGAGGTGGGGGGATATGGGGTTGTATCTGTGGGTCACGGGGTGATGGGGATTGAGGTATTTAGCGCATCATCACTGATATAGTAGCAAGACTAAGGGACCTGCGAGAGGGAAGAAATGGTGATTTTGTGTGGTAAGAGTTTGCGACTCCTTCGTGTTTTGAGTTGGTTTCGGCTTCTGAGAGCTCTTTTATTTAGGTTTTTGCTTTTTGGGGTATTTCTTGCTTCACCTGCAGTTGGTACGTGGTAAGTATTTACTTATCCGTATATGTTGTAAAGTTGTTTTTTTCTTTCTCTTCGATCAGGTAATGTATTGTTAGTGATGAAGCCTTGAATTGGAAATGGATGGCTGAGATTAAACTAGCTCATAAGCTAGGATTGTGCCGGCTGTCATAGTAGCTGACTCTGTTTTAGATATACTCGTGCAAGACACATGAGTATGAGAAGCATGTGATGCATGTGAAGTTTGTGACGGTTTCTTCTTGTATTCTCTCTCAGCTTGCGTCCTCTCGTTCCGGGTCATGGAGCTGCAGTGGGCGGTGATCTGGGCAATTAGAAGGGACTAAGGGGTGTGATACCCAAAAAAAAGTTGGGATAATCAGCTCCTCGATGTTTCTAGTAAATTTTAGGAACGACGTTGATTAATTTTCAACTTCAAAGACTAAGGTGACGAACAATGTCACTTTCAAGGATCTTTTATGATAAAAATCCAAACTATCTCAAACATGCATTTTTCACATAATTCATTACTACGTAGTATGGAGGCAAAATTGCAAAAAATTGCTTAAAAAAAAAAACAAATAATAATAGACCAATAGAAGGTGATCCTCCTAACATTCTTTTCACCGAAGAATTTCAAAACAAAAATCAATTTAATTTATTATTCAAATTTGCTACATGTAAATTGTAATCGTTAAAATGGCTCGACAATGAATGCTTATAATTTGTTTGTTAACCAGAATTTGTGGCCGCCACAATCTAATCAACTCAAAGCTTTTCCCTTCCTTCTGCCATAAACTGTGTCAGTCAACAAATCCAATTGCTGTAGGAATCTACCATTAGTAAAAGCTCCCTGAAAGTTTTAGAGGAAAAAGGCACCGTGCAAGCAGAAACCTATGCAATTCGGAAAAGCCGAGAACTCAATAATCCTAGACCCAAAACTATACCTCTAAACTATAAGCCGAGAACCAGAGCAACCATGACGATAAGTATGCATGGCCTTGCAACAACACCAGCTGAGGTTGACCTGCAGGAATCACGAAGCTGAAGTCAGTATCGATACAGGTAACCAAGTTCTTCGGTTTATATTACACCGGAACACATGAATGCTTTAAAACAATATGTAGTATTGATAGATTGAAACCTAGAAGCCACCACCGGTCCCAAATCCCTTGTAAATTTCATTTCTTTCTTTTTCCCATCAAGTTTTGTTATATGAACAAGCTTGCAGGAAAACAGGATACCTACTACGTAGCTGGTCCTATATAGATATACATGTATGAAGGGTTACCTTGTTACAAGCTCCTTTACTGACTCAGTTTCCAGTCCGAACCCAAACGGGAAAAGTGGATCAGTGTGAATCACCAACATTCATTGGGAGTTGATCGACATTTTTGAACCATGTTCTTGGAAGCTTTCCACTGAATCCATGATCCCCAAAAAGGACATCAGTAATGCCTTGGCCTTCAGAGCCCGGCAACCATGCTGCCACCAGAGCACCAATCGAGGAAACATATGGTTCTATTACAATAGGTCTGCCAGTTATTACGATAACAATGCACTTGACACTTTCACACAGATTGCTGATGACACTTGGGCCAGGTTCCGCCATCGTTAGGTTTGGGCTGTCTCCTGCAGTCTCAGAATAAGGATGCTCGCCAACCACAACGATGGCATATGCAAAATTGTTGGACTTTACAAAATTACCATCAGGATTCTCACTGTAGATAACTTCTGTGCTTGAGTCGACTGCTGATTTTATAGCACCAAGGATCGTAGTCCCTAATCATGAAAAGGAAGTTTTATGAAAAATACAGCCAAGATTAGATACATTTATGTATGAACATCCTATACGCACAAGATTATATTTCCATACATTCTAATAAACTGTGAGGACGATTTTCTTGTTGCAACTAACCAGCACCTATGAAATCTTCTTATTAAGTACTTAATGTTCTATTTTGTGAATATTCAATTCTATCATTTTGTTGTAGAGCACAAAAGTAGTGCACATAGACAGAATATTAGTATTTAATACAACGATGAAAGCAGACTATATACATCAATCAAATGACCAATAGGAGGGTTGCAAATCCTGATAATTGATTATCTCGGATAAACTGACCTGGCTTCCAAGCTCATTGACTAGGCTGAAATCAGCCAACGGGTTCTCAAAAAGACCCATGGTGAATTTGACAAGCAGAATCCTTCCCACAGCATCATCAATACGATCCATTGGGACAACGTTATTCTTGACCAGGTTAATGAGATCATTAATGAATTCTTTATGGTTGATAGGGACCATGACCTTCAAAACAAAGAGAACCATTTTCAGAGTTTTATAATTTCGAACCAGAATAGAAAAACAGTTCTATTTAGTGTAAAAGAGATGCTATTGTCTTCTTTCATTTCTGTAAGAGGTTTTTATATAAAATAAGCCACGAACCATGTCAATTCCAGCTAGAACTGAAGCTTGGACAGAGTGTGTAGTTTGAATGTGGAGGCGAGGTAATCCTGTCAATACCCTCCCAGTCTGATATAACAAAACCCTGAATGTTCAACCAAAAACATCATGTGCTGTTAGCATGAAACAGTGCAGAACACAGACAAAGGTACACTACAGTCACCAAAATGAAGCACCTATTGTGAGACCGATAACAACCAGAACTCGAGATCAGTGATATTATTGAGTTATCAACTTATCACAAATACCTTAATTTCATATTGAATCTGAAATTTCAACTCATTAACACAGATGAAGCTTAAAGACGCTAAAAAGTGGGAACTGATGCAATACAGGATAAATCATATAACTGATGCGGTACTGATGTATGCTAGGCACTTCAATTGTATCAAGAGAAATGCACAAAAACTGCATCAGAAGTTTGTTTGAATGTATTATGATGGCTACAAAGACAATAATCTGTAATGGCTACAACAACAACATCTAAGCCTTATCCTACTAAGTGGGGTTTGCCTGTATGAAATAAAGATGACGTTAGAGGGGAAATACGAGAAAGTATGTAAATGCAGCGAACCCATCTATAGACACCAAAAGTGGTAACATGGGAAAGTGAAGAATCATGCTAATCACTAAGCAATGTCCAAGAAAACCTGACCGCATTAATGTGTAATGTGGAAGTAATTTGAATTTGATTAGATAATATTGGATGTATTAAAACCCAACATGTAGGAAATACACAAGGTTGAGAAAGGCAATAAAAACAGATAAGGCTGACAGCATTTGAAGAATAAGAAGAGATTGAAGGAAAGAACAGTTATAAAGCAGTCAACTAGTCACGATTAAGAGCATATATTTTGAAAATCTGTAATTTAAGCTATGAGATGCCAAGGAAGAGAAAACCACACAAATAAAAGCACTGATAATAGCAATGTGCAAAGGTTTTGGTGCCAAAAACCTTTCTTTGAATTCATGGTAAGATTTAACACTGCGCATGCTAGTTTCGTGCTTACATCAAATCTCGGTACATGGATGAGACATGATTGCACTTTATATCTTTCTGTGCATGTGATTGTTAACTCCAGAAAAACTTTAACAAGCTTGGATATTAAATAAAAGTGAATAAAATGATACCTTAAATTTAAGGGTGCCCTTAGGAAGTCCGTAATTAGATCACGGTTTGCATGCATCTTTTTCCCATTCCAACTGAAGTAGGAAATCATCACGGTTGAGACACCCTTGATGATGGAGTCAGAATAGGCAGGCATGTGGATGCTAAGCAATTCCTGTTGGTCAATCACAGTGTCGTACTCATTAATGCCCTTGCTCGTGCCACCATCACCAACGAAGTGCTTTGCACAAGCTGCAACCTTTTTACTAAAATATAATAAATAAATAAATATACATCAGGAATCACTGAAAGCTTGAGTATTTTAACATTAGTAAAGGAAATAAAAGATAAAAAGAACCACTAAATTCATTTGATTTATTAATTGAATCCATAACTAGAAAAACACGACGCGTGTTCTCTAAATTATATTTCAGCCAAATTATCTTCCCTAAGCTCGCAAAATCCAGTAAATTGAGATCATGAGTAATAGTTACAATACAAAGGATTGTATCTTTTAAATCAAAAGAAGGAAAAATGAAAATGGAATGAACAGAGAAAAATAAAAAAGGAAAGATAGAAGTACGCTTATTTTCATAAAATTCGTACTTTCCACCAACATATGGCGCTCCTTTCTGAGAATTTGCAGGGATATCTCCCTGTAAACCTGGAATAATCTCCGTCATTTCTTGCACAATTTTGTGATCTTCGCTGTAGCTTTCGTAACACCGGCCCCATCTTGGATCTCTACATACCTATATAGGATCTTCCAGGCAATGCACAGAAGTCATCAGATGGAGAAAATATGAACGCACTCAAAGGACATTGTTAAGCATGTAAAAGAAGAAAATGCTGAACGCATAAATCCTTTTGTAATGTATTATTTACCGCAATGCAAGGAGCAAATACATAAGGAATCCCTGTAGCTCGGGCTTCAAGAGCAGTTGCAGAACCAATTCTTCGTACCAGTTCAGGGTCCCTGTATACTGGAAATATTTAATAGAAAGAAGACACATTCAATGAACTATAAAACGAAAAACATCTAAAAGGATTTTGAAATGCATGGTTAGTTATTTTAATACTTGCTGAAGTATAATAGAGATTTACTTGCAAGGATTTGACCCTAATGGGACCTTGTTGTAGTTATAGAGTTACAGAGTGCTGCTTTTAAACGACGGTGACAGATCTCATCCTTTGTGTAAAAATAGAACAATGCCCTATCATGTTTTGAAATGAAGCAAATAGAATCTGAAACTTTTACCTGCCTGGTAGCTCCAAGCCCAACATTATGTGGAAATATTGTAGCATTGTAGACATTATTGTGTCCATGAACAGCATCAATGCGATAGATCATAGGAATGCCCAAACGACTAGATAGAGCTCCCTTCTGAAATCCGTTAATCATGTTAACCCAGTCTTCAGCACTAGCTTCTGGAAGTGGTGCACTGCCACCACCGCTCAATACACTACCTGCACAAATCAGAACACATCCTCACTCCATTGTCATATCATCTGTGTGTTCAATATTTTTCTCTTTACCAAAAGTCTTCCTCCCTCAAAGGCAAAAAAGAATGGGGCAAAAGGAGAACAATCTGAAGGCTTGTTAATTGAATAAAGAAGAACCAATCTCATAACAGGATATGTTCTTGCTGCCTCCAGATTCAAAGTGATACTTCCTGTTTAGTTTGTACAAAGTTAGAAATGCAGCAAAAAGAGGTAACGTGTGGTTTTTGGTGACACCAAGGCAGGATTCTAGACATATGTTTAGGGAAAATTGCACAGTAAGTACAAAATCCTAATATTGACATCTCCAACACCCTATGCACAGACATTATCTCTGCAGAATAACCCCAATTGCAGGGGTTATTTTTACCAACTGCACCCCTTCATTTTGCTATTCATTTTGCTACTTCAACCATTTTATCCGTATATATAAATTAAATCACTAAAGAACACCTCAACTCGTGCGTAAACTCCTTTCTTAATAAGATAAAATCCACAAGAAAGATAGACAAGAATTGTGTTGTGCCATCATAAAAAGTCATTTAACGGCTTGATTTGAAGAAATAACAGGAATGAAATGCGGACAGAATGAGACGAACACTAGAAATCAAACAATTTATGTTGGTGTGCATCCAACACTGTTGAAGGTTGTATTGAAATAGATAAATTACATACCAATGAAGTAAGTTTTCATAGTATCAACAGAGGCAACACTACTATCAATCTGCGTGTTGAAGGTGAGATAAGGCTTCCTTTCTAGCATTTTTACGAGAATAGAATAAGAATTGAAGAATATCTTCGTTGAGTTAATCCAGTAGAATATCTAACATTTGTATCAAAACTGGTAGCTAGTCGTTAGTTAAATATCTGAGACTCTCCAAGTATAGACATTAAAGCTGAAAGGGTCATGTAAAATGTAAGTGGAAAAATTACGGAAGCTGCTATTGGCACTCCAGAAAAGTCATCATGCAGACTCTTTTTTGTGAGTGCTAATTATCGTGCCGAACTTGATGATTTAGTTTTCTGATAGAAATGGATTGTTATTGATGACAGATTGTTGGATTTATTGGTGTAGAGAGCGAGCAGCAATGCTGTCTGACTACAGTTTTGATGAGGTCGAAGGTATAACCTTTTAAGTTCATGTCCCCTCTTGGCCTAGAATGTAATAACTCGGGAGAGATTTTAATCTGGTAGTTATATTACTCATGATTTGTTATGGCTTTACCAGGCTGAGGTGACAGCTGCTTTCACTTGGTTGCACATGCATCGGACATGGCTGGACAGTTCAGAAATTAAAGAACAAGAAAGATGGTTATTTTTGCTTCCTAACCAGGTCTGCATCTATTTTCTTGGGTCAAGATCGGGAGACACATTTTGACACACTTTCTTAGGGTCGGGATTGGGGGATCTGATTCCATATTGTTTACACATCTATCTTGAATGCTGTGTTCAGAATCCGGTGGTTAATTCCAGGTTTACTGGTCACAATAAGGCATCCTTGTACATATAAGTTACCAGGACCAGGTCAAAGTACATGGTGACTAAAGTTTGATTGATGTGTAGGCCAATTGCAGAATCCTACTGCTACGAAGTACACAATCTGATATGCTAGTTTACACAATGTGATGCAATAAGTACTACATTCGGCTGCAGTAAATTAATTCTCAAGTTATTCCATTTCGTTTTCAGTCTTCCAGGTTTTGTTTTTGCTTTTTTGAAAACTGAAAACTTGTTGAGCAACTATTTTAGTTTTTATAGTTAATTTGGTTTGTATATCAGCTTTTTTTCGTATATTTTTCGGCTCATATTCGTATGATAATTTTATTTTGTGTCTCTGGCTTTCAGTTTCATGGATGCACATGAAACACAATAATCTGCATCCGAAATCTTTCAGCGGAGTTCGACTTCATATGCCCGTTGTGACAAGGTCAGCTTGAGTAGTTGTTAAGGCCTCCTCTGACATTGATGGAACTGCTGCCGCAAATGAGGGCAGTGAGCCCCTTCCAGATAGCAAGGAAAAGGCGGTGGTACCTGTCGACAAGCTTCCTTTGGAGTCAAAGCTGCAAGAGCAGCTAGAGCAGAAGAAGAAGATGCAACTGGCGAAGAAAATAAGGCTTCGCAGGAAGCGACTTGTTCGCAAGCGAAAACTGAGAAAGAAAGGCAGATGGCCTCCATCAAATATGAAGAAGTTAAAGAATGTCTGAGGTTTACCTCATGCTTTCTTGCAGGTTTAGTTCTGACCCTTTTTGTTTATGCGGACGCGTGATTTTTGTTATTGCAAGATCAAATGTCTCTTCGTATTGATGTAATTTCTTAGTTTGAATCTTGATGCTGTCAATGGAAAAATTCCTTACGTTTTTGCAAGGTTTTGATCATCCCCTGGCTTGTTCAGGGCTGTTCTCCAGTTTTATAGCTGGATCTTTCTTCCAAGACATCCAATGCAAGCGTTCTTTTTTGCTTTGGGCGAAGGCTGAAGATCTATTTCGGATCTGGTGTGTGGATCTTTCCTTTAGCTGGTGGAGAAATAAAGTTTTGAGTTTGTATCGATATATAAAGAGGAGTGGCCGATATTTCACTAGTGGATCAGCAAATTCATGCCGTCTTTGATGACGAGCAAGTACTTTGGCCCTCCAACGGGGCGGTAGGGGAAAATTGAGCGGAATTGCCATTTCCCCTTTGAGGTCCATCTTTGTTGAGTGTTGCTGCGACACTAGTGTTTAATGTGAAGCAGATCCTATTGCTAATTTGTTGTCAGCTCTAATGAGTTTTGTCCGTTGTACCGGGTTTCAATATTTATATGGCAAAACCCTCCCTATGCGGGGCTGATTGTATTATTCCTAACATGTAGTTTGCTCCCGTATTACGAATGAAGAAAATTCTCCTTTCCACCCGAAAAAGAGAGTTTTGGTTAGACCTGGTATTCGTGTCGTGTTTTTCGTGTTCGTGTTGTTTTCATGTCATACCCGATATCTTAACGGGTCGTATCGTGTAAAACCCGTTAAAATAAACAGGTAAAATGACCCGACCCGAAATCAATCCGATAATATTAACAAGTAATGATCTGACCCATTACACGGTAAGGAAAATATATTTTAAACCAATAAATAATCAAATAAAAAACATAATACTAAATAAGTATATACATATCATATTGACACATCCAAAACATAAAAACGCATTTTTTTTTAAGTATATTTTCGCTTACCTAAATTGATTGTTCTAGCCTTTTTCTTTGCAAGACTCGTATTTGTATTGTCTATACTTTCACTTTTAAGATCTCGTTCTGTTCCCATTATAATCTCCACGGACTCCTCATCACTAAGGTTTACTGAATCTGAATCTCTAGCATTCATTGCTTCTGAAACAAAATGGGTATAAATTAACTACTAGCTTAATTAATTAAGTAAAGTCTTTAATAGTTTTTTAATTAATGTACAAGTGTAAAACATATAGAAAAATGTATAAACGCTTGTATTACAAATTTCATGACACGCCCCGATCCCGACATACGTCCAGGATCGACCCGTGATGTCACCAAGAATCTGTATCTCTAACATACCCCGCCTCCGGGATATGTGCAAACACAACTCACGATCCAACTACATAGTAATTTTTCGTACACTTTATGGCTGCATCTAACCTCCTCGTTAGAGTGCCTACGTACCCTCAATAGGGATCAAGCCATTTGTAGTTCAACATTCACAAAATCAGACGTTTATCCCACTAAGTTCAAGCAGAAAAGCATACCCTTCCTCAATAATCATTTATTATAACCTGACAACATGAAATTCCTGGACTCAGGTTACATAACAAACCAACATGCCGTTCACGATTCTCATTCCATCCATCGTATAACTTCCATGTTTTCAGCACGATACTTCCATCCATAGCATGTAAACATCAATTAACCAACGAAGCACATATTATTCTCAAGCCACATTGATCAACTAAAATAATTATAATAATGACAACCATAACCAAGGTCATTCCACAATCCCGTCAATCAATCAATTCATAAATCAAAGATACATGATCTTAGCATTTAATTATGTTAATCAATGAATGCGATAACATATCATTTCACAAATTTAACCAAGGAACTCTATATAATTTCCGACTTGGATTATGAGCAATAACATGGTAAATCTATTTTATATTCACAAGGTCTATTGTGGGTAATTCCCATTCACTCGAATCTAGGGTTCTAGACTAATCTTATGGGAACGAGCGAAAGCAAGGATTCCGGAACACTCAACAAAATCCAACAACACCGGGTTTTGGACCACTCAACGGAACCAAAATATCAAGCAGTTTCTCATAATCCACCCAGACCTGTCATATGTAAAATCAGTGCCTACATCATAGAAATGGTGCACCAGCCAAACGGAACTCGGATAACCTACGGAGCTCGGGTGAGTGACAATAATACAAGTATGTGATATTCAATTAAAACAGACCATCGATCACAATCTATAAACATCAAGTATAGAATCATGCTTTATGGAATCATAATCAAGTCACTGAAAACTTCATATGAGTCACCCAGACATCTAACAGGTTTTTCTAATTCAAACCACAAGATTTTAAAAAACCAATTTTCATATGTACATTAAAAACTAGGGCTAGAGGGACGCAATTTAGCCAAAGCCTACATAGTAACCAAACAGGAAGTGACCCCCCAAAGAGGATTAACCAAGCAAAGCCACCCCTGAGAAAATAACCAAGTAGGTAGTGACTCCCCAACGCGGATTAACCAAGCAGAGTCACTCCTACAGCTGTTAGGAAGTGATCACTCAATACGGATTAACCAAGCATGATCACTCCTAAGCAAACATGGCCATCAGGATAGCCCAGCGCGGATTAACCAAGCGCAAACCATATACAATATGGTCCCCCAATGCGGATTAACCAAGCAGGGCCACTAGTGACCCCCCAATGCGGATTAACCAAGTAGGGTCAAGATAATCAGGTAGGTAGTGACCCCCCAACGTGAATTAACCAAGCAGAGTCACACCTACATAACTGTTAGGCAGTGACCACCCAACGCGGATTAACCAAACATGATCACCCCTAAGTATAAATGGCCATAAGGATCGCCTAACACGGATTAACCAAGCGCGATCCATATAGAGTATGATCCCCTAATGCGGACTAACCAAGCAAGGTCATAGTCCCCTACTAGCCCTCAATTTACAAAACACTTCAATACGTAATTCGAATCACTTTTTCACAAATATTACTAATCCATGAATCAAATCACGTTTTCACAAGTCCTTAAAGCTTCACTGAGTCTTTAGTAATACTAATTTTAGTAATTCAAATGGTTCAAGACCTGTTGACCAAACGTCAATGGTGGGGTCCACACCCTAGCAATTTAATCCGGAAGATCCGCCCATCATAATATAGATCTGTAACTTCCTAAGGTCCATATTATGCTAAAAAAACAACATACTAAAATCTCACCGCGATCCGACAGTCGGATCTCCGCCAATTGCTAGAATTAGGTGGTAGTTAACAATTAATTTTATTAACTTAGAATCTAATTCGGGAAGATCTGTATGTTGGATTCCTGATCTATCATTTCCAGTTATCCTCAAATATTATGTTCTATAAACATTAAGGTTTAGTGACGATCCAACGGTCGGATTGGCGATTCATATTTTGATCAAGTAATGTGTCGTAATGAAACTAAGTTCAAACAATCAATGTACGTCATATGGATATGAAACATGAACCCAGGGCATCTAATAGTACTTAAAAAGACATCGTTGGCCCACTAACCATGCGCCGCTGCAGGTGGCGGTCGCCCGTCCTGACTTGCTGGAAAATTCAACTATTTCCAAAAATTCTCAAGTTTTACTAAAATAAATATCTCAATGAGTAGAGTAAGTTTCATACATGTGACCAAGGCCAATTTTTTTCGGGAAATACCTCAAATGGCCCATGAACTGCCTGAAACCCTTGATTTGGGTGACTTCGATCTGTCACCTCCAGTGCTCCGCTGCCTCCAAGGTTGTTTGGGCTTTGTTCCTGGGTTCAAGGAGAGTCTAATGGTGGTGCTAATTGGTGAAAATCGTTTCAATAATGGGAGAATCGACGACAAGGGGTTCCTGTACCCACTGGTGCGGTTTTCATAATTTCATGGCTAAATTTCTACAATTTTGGGTTTTAATGGGTAGAGGAAAGGTCGCAGAACATTTTGCAGGGGTTAGATAACGTGGTTCGCTGGAAAAACTGATGAAAAACCACTGGAGAATATGAAAAAGACGGGGTCAAGTCAAGAAGTGCAACCGGGTCGAATAAGGGTCCAGTTCCCCTCTTTCTCCCCCCCTCTCCTTTCCCCTCCTTGCTTCTCTTTTCGATTGGTCCTTCTTCCCCCTCCTTTTCTCTCCTTTCTCTCCTTTCTTTTCTTTCCTTTTTATCCCAGTTGTCCATCTCTTCTTTTGCCTGCATTCTAGCCACACACGTGGCACATCTTTTGCTCCAGATTTTTTGGAGCCTTCTAAATGAGGGCAAAATTACAAAAATATCCCTAACTTTAAACATTAATAACTCTCTTGTTATAACTCCATTTCATAAACAATTTACGCCTACGCGTTCATGAGATCGGGCTCTATTCAAAAATATAAATTGTGACATTGAACGATCTACAGATTTTAAATATTTAGTTTTCAAAGTTCACTCTTCGTAACTAGTTTAATTAAAATCTAAATTCAAATAAATTAATATAATATCCTGAAAGATAAAAATCTCAACAATACAAATATGTAGATTATAACAGCGATTATTGTTTACATTTACGCTTTATTGTTCTCATCAAATTTTCTTTTTTCAAATTTTCTTTTTTGAAAACATGATCTATTAGAGGATGCAGGAAGATAAACCGTTTGGATCGTTGATATTATATTCAGAGTTTTACAATTAGTGAAAATATTGCTTGATGTTTATAAAGTTTCTACAAACTATATGATATCGACTCATATTTCAATTAACCGTAAATATCGAAACGTGATATCAAAGATCTAAACCATTCATCTTCTTATATCCACCAGATGATCATGTTTTCAAAAAAGAAAATTTTAAAAATGAAATTCAATAAGAAGAATAAAGTGTAAATGACAATCGATGGTTAAATATAAAATTAAGGTTTATGGATCATGTTGGATTTCAAAGCTGGCCCCTTCATGAAAGTTGTAAAGCTTGTCACTATGAGAGATTGTTTTTTTTTTTTTTTTTTAAATACATTTTTTACACTTCTACAATAATTATTATTAATTTTATTAATTTTTCCCTCAAATAAAAAACATTATTCATGAAGGTTTGGAGGATTTTAAAAATCTAAATGATAATGTAAGTGTAACCATTATCTACTCGTGGAGGAATAATGATGAATCACGAGTGTTTATATATTCTTTCACATTTTTCATACTTGTATGTATGTCTTCTTAGTTTTTGCCTATACAAATACTATACTAGTTTATTTTAATTTTGGACAACAACATGTTAACTGTTAAGTAAAATTTATCCAAGTAATGATGATAAGGAACTCTCATAATAAAAATAAATAATGACTAAAATTTTTTATTTTTTAACTTATATAGAATAATAATACAAAACTATATATTGAATATAGAATATATTGTATTTATTAATATGGCTATTGTATTTTATAATAAACCTTTTAGTAATTAAACTTTCAAATTATCAAAATAATTTTTTTCTTAACGGGTCACCCGATAATGACCCAATTAGTTATCGTGTTGACCCGAAACCCTTTATTTTCGTGTTGTGTCAGAAGCTGGCAGGTCTACTTTTGGTCACAAATGGGCACCCCCCAATCATTTTGGTTTTAACAGTGGTGCATTTTTGCTCAACACCATAAATTATGGTGTATGAT